AAGTGTTCTTGTCCCTCGCTCCCTGGCCAATTTCCCTCTCTCACATGCTTCAGACCAGGGGTCCATCCTGTAGAACTTTTTCATAGAGGAAAAGAAACTAGACAGATTTAGACATAATGAGCATGGTAAGGCAGCTACCCTGGGATGGCCTGGTCCATGATCCTCTTTGGACTGGAAGCTCCTTGGTGCTCTTTCCTTGATGGTCCCAGAACAAAATCGTTATCTTCTCTCCCAACCCTACTCTGCATCTTTGGAAGGAGTTCATGTGTTTATTCTTCCAGTCTGAGGTTCACTCTAACCCAGTCAAGAAGCCTCATTGAATGTGGGATTTGGGGTGCCTCATTCATATTATCAACTTCCTCTCCCCCCTTCTGAGGGAAGAACAAAGACAGAAGAAATGCTTGTAGATGTTCAGTCACCCCAGAAAGGACTGGACTCCCCAAAGCGCAATTCGGTTCACCACAGTAGATCAGGTTTTGCAAAAGACAACCCTTTCCTTATGGTTACCAAGGGAGATTAGGGAGCCTCCTTCCCCAAAGCGCTTTTAAATCTGAGTCCTTATCTCTGGGGCTTATGTAATTCTACGTCTGCCTGGTGACCAGGAAGTGGACTGGTTAAGTGCAGGATGCCCTGATCAGCTCAAAGATTCTGTGAAACCAGTCGGCCTCAAAGGAAAGGATTTAAAATTGGGCAGAGGAGCTGCTGAATAGGGCAACCATCTAGTTAGTATGTATCCACATAGCGACTAGCTGGAGAGGAGAGGGAATTAGTATGGTTCAGAGCGGGAGAAACAGGCCAAAAGGGAGAAGAACATGTTTCTTGATGGAAAACAAGTCAGTGTCGGCTTCCAGAACCAGAACAGCCCCTCATGGGAGACACTTGAATCTTTTGAAACCAACTGGGCCACAAGCCTAGAATATAAGCCAGGAGATGAGGGGGAGGTCAGAAGAGGAGAGAGGTGTCTCCAGGGGAGGGACCAAAGGACCTCTTTAGACCCTTCTCATTTCTCTACAATATGTTCCTCATTTCCCGAACAAATCCCAGGAAACAAAAGCACCAGATTCCAACCGAGTTGGCTGGTGTCGCTGACTGGGCCAGCAGCAGATGGCAAATTCAGTTCAGTGTAGACAAATGTAAAATAATTAGCGTGAGAACAAGAAGCCGGGGATGAGATGGAACTGTGGTGAGGAAGAGGAGTGGAGCCTCGGGTGGGAGAAGCTGGAGCCAGCCACCTGGCCCCTGACTGTCCCACTGAGGGGCTTCTGGTAAGGCCTTGCACAGTCAGAGGTGTTGCCCCAAACAGGATAGGAGTCTTTCTGCTCCCTCTTTGCTCCCCCATTCACCTTCTACCCAGCCCTGAAATTGCCCTGTTTGGGGGGTGGCTACCCAAGATCCCAGGCTTTATCCTGGGGGGATAGGGGAAGGGTCCCCTCTCCCAGGGCCCCACCCAAGAGAAAGGAGGCACCAATTCTGGCCGGCTTGGAGCTCTCCATGGTAGACCTATGTCTCCCAGACAGCCCTACTGGACTCCACCACCTGATGTTAGAGGCATGGTGAGTTAGAGAAACTCTGTAAAAAGGCCCCCTTGTGCTGAAATCTGGACCCAGCCCTGGGCAAGATCAGCTCTGCTTTCTGTTCCAACCCATCTGATGTGTGAAAATCAACAGCTTTCAGGCCTCTAGCTTGGGTTGAACACACCCGGCCCCAAACCCACGCGTGCTCTCTCTTTCTCACCTCCCTCTCCTTCTTGCGGCCGGTATCTTTCAAACCCTGGCTTCACTGCTGGGCCAGGCTGGCTCACCCCAGCAGGCTTCAAGGCACATCAGATAGGGTGGAGCGAGAGAGAAGAAGGAGAAAGGAAGGAAAACAAGCCCCTTGGGGCTGTTTAATGCCACCGCCTCAGTGGCTCCTGGGACATTTTAGTGGGAGTCTAGGATTTCAGCTGGATTAAAAATCGTAATAATGATAATACTCCAGGAGACAGTGGGGCAAATGGAACGCCCAGTGGCTAGCGAGGCAGCTGGCCTGGGCTCCTATCTCAGCTTTAACTCTGACTTGTTATGTGACCTTGGCCGAGTTTCCGAACTCCTCTGTGCCAGAATTTCCTCATCTGTAAAATGGGAGCAGCACCTATTTTACTGATTTCAAAATGTTGTGAGACAAGGATGAAATGATGTGCACAAAGGCCCCGTGGAAAGTGGAAAGGCCTTTGCAGATGGAAGAGATAAAGATGCTGATTCCCCCCTGTCCAGAACAGGAAGAGGTTGTGTTTTCATTCAGCGGTCCTTCACTATCTTCCTTTACTTTTGTGAATAAGAAAGTAGCCAAGTGACTCTGGCCCTTCCTCTTGCTAGGAGGAGCCTTTATAGCCCTTCCCCCTCAACCATTCCCTTCCTAGAGCTTTTGAGAGAGTGCCCTGATTCACTGGCAGAGCAAGATTCCTCCCAGGGCAAGTCCATCTTCTTTGCAGCATAGCTGCCCGTAGCATTGAGTGGTTGAGTGACTTGATCAGAGTGACATAGCCAGTCTGTGCCAGGTAGAACTTGAACCCAGGTCTTCCTGCCTTCAGGGCTGGTTTTCTCTATCCACTGGGCATCACAGGCTCTCCTGTAGCTTTAGGGAATCCTGTCTGCCAAGAGGATGAGTTCCCAGGATGATGGCACCACCCACTATCTTGAAAGAGTAGCCATGTTCCATCAAAGGATGCCCACTTGATGATGGGCCCGCTCTGTTCCCTGTGATGGATGCCTCCAGGTCAGACTGTGGGATAGCATGGCCACCTCCATTCAGAGAGTTGAAAGGGCCCTCTGGTCAGACTTTATTGACGTCATTTTTAAGTATGTACCTCCTCTGGGTAAGGCCTTGTGCCAGCCACTGTGCTGAGCCCTGGGGATATAGAGACAATGAATAAAAGAATCCCTGTTCTGGAAGAGCTTCCATTTTAATGGGGAATATATACGGTACAAGTACATGTATCTAATCTATGTAAGCAGAATAACTGTGATGAGGATGAATACAAGTAAACACAAATGGTAGTCTGAGAGGGAGGAGCCCGCGAGCTGAGGGTATCCAAAGGCTTCCCTTAAAAGCTGGTGCTTGAGATGAGTCTTGAAAGAAAGGAGGGATTCCATGAGGGGGAGGTGAAGATGTCTTGTATCCCAGGCACAAGAGACTGGAGTGGGAAAAGACAAGGTGGGAGGACCAGGTAGAAAGTCAACGTAGAAGTCTGGGTAAAGAGCAATGAGGGCCTCGGCGAAAGTGGTGGTTGGGCGAGGAGAGAGATGGTTGGCCACCAGAGCTGTTGTGGAGGTAGAGCCAGTGAGATTTGGCACCTGATTGGATGTGTGGGATGAGGGAGACGGTTAAGAACCAGGTGAAGAGCCTGCGTGACCAAGAGGATGGTGGCGCCTTCAAAAGAAAAGGGGAAGTTTGGAAGAAAGATGAGTTGGGGGAAGGATAATGAGTTCTGCTTTGGTCATGTTGAAGGTGCCTGGGGGACAGACAGCCAGTTGGAAATGTCCAGGAGGCTGTTGGAGAAGCAGGCCCAAAGGTCGGGGGAGGGACTGGGGTTGGATATATAGACCTGGGAGCCATCTGCATGGAGATGGGAGCTGATGGTCATCGAAAGAGAGTGGAGAGAGAGAGCAGGCCAAGACAGCCTTGGGGAGCACCCACAGTCTTGGGGTGGGCAGGGATGGGGAGCCCCCAAAGGAGACTGAGAAGGAGCAGCCAGAGAGGAGAGAGGATTAGGAAGAGAGCAGCCCAGGTGAGGATGAGGCCCAAGAGAAGACCACTGGGTTTGGCGATTAAGTGATCATTGGTCAAAGCAAGGCAGGGTGTGGAGCGGAGGCCTCTGGCGTCTTGGGCAGCTGCAGGAGAAACTCGTCGGTCTTTCCTGCCTTAGCGACAGTGTTGGGGCTCCCTCGGATTGTGAAGACTTAGGAGAGAGAGCTTATGCGTCTCCCTTCACTCGTGTAAACAAGACAGACTCACCAGAAGTCTCCCCAGGGTGACTCTCCCGGGGAGCTCGGAAACAATCCAGCTGAGGGGCGAGTGACTGTGTTATTGGGCCGGGGGAAGACTTGGAGGAGATAGGGTGGCCCAGGAGCTCTTCGATGGAGCCAGAGGAGGCTGCTGTGAGGAAAAGGACACTCAAGTAGGGACTGGACGACCGGGCTGTCACCGGTTCCTGGATGACCTTGAGGCCCCTTTCCCTCTCTGTGCCTCAGTTTCTTCAAGTGTAGAATGCAGGGGTTGACTTAGATCCTCTCTGAATTCCCTGCTGCTGTGTCTGTGACCAGAAGCACTGTGCTTGGACTTGGGAAGACCTGAGTTGAATCCTTCCTCACATACTTAGCAGTTATGGTACCTTGGGTGAATCACTCATCTTCTCTCGCTCTCGGTTTCTTCGTGTGTAAAATGGGGAGGGAAAGGGCTGGGGAGTTGGGCTCACTGACCTCTGAGGTCCCTTCTGGCTCTAAATCTGATGACCGGCAGTCCTGGCCCCCTCCCCCTCCCCACTCCCGTAGGAAGTTGTCTGGAGGAGGCTTGCTGTCTCTGCTCCCTCTTTTTCCTTCTAGGTTTTGAAAGGCAAAAAGAAAGAACTTCGTTTAGGTGTAATCCCAGCCCCCCCAGCCCTGGCAGCCTCAGCCAGGCCAGGCAGATGAGTGCAAGCAGGGAGGCGCGTTTTTGACTCCACTTACCAGCTTCAAGATCAGAGGTGGGCAGAGGGAAGCGGGGGGAGTCTCCCCGCCTCCCATCACTGCCTCTTTTGGGGGCCCTGAGTTCACTCTGACCTAGATTCCCAACTCCCTGGAGCTGACTTCACATCTGGTGATTCCGTGTGCTGTGTCGTCCTGGAAGGTGACCTAGAAAGGAAGAACGCCCCCCTCGATTTTGAATTAGCCCAGCCCCCAAATCCAGAAGTCTCTGCTTGGGAGGGATGCTGCTCCCAGACCCACAGACACAAGGCCCAGGGAGGGCCTTGGAAGCAGGAAAGATGGCGCCCAGCCAGGGAGCTGTCTCAGCATCAGCGCCTTGGGGTCCTGTTTGGGGTCTGCCCTAGCAACAAGGAGATCTGCTGTCCCCGGTATGTGGCCCCAGCCCTCTTCCTCTCTGGCTCTACCAGCATCAGTCAGCATTGTTCGGCAGAGGCTCACATTCTGTCCCCACTAGTAACAGCCGGGGTTGAGGCCTCGGGCACCCCTCACCTGGCCTATCCAGTAACCTTCTCCATCCGTCCGGTGCACAGTGGCGGGCGCTGTTCCTCAAGGACGGGTCTGACCACGCCACCCCTGGTTCACCACGCTCTGCCAGCTCCTTCCCCGCTGCCTCCAGGGTCAGATTCACATGTCTCTGCTTGGTGTGGAGCCCTTTACAATAAGTCAGCCCTCTCCGGCCTTTCCGGACTCTCCTCACACACTTGAAAGTCCAGGCCTCCGAGCTTCCTTTTGTCCCGTGCCTCGTCACACGTGAGGCCTCATTCCTGGGCCGCTCTCCTCCTCCGTGCCTCCTTTGCAGGCTCAGCGTCTCAGTGAAGCTCCCTAGAACTCCCTTAATTCACATGGCGTCTCTCTCCCACTTCTCTCTGTGATGAGATACAGACCTTCTGCCCAGTGGGCAGCCAGAGAGATTGGGTTCAGATCCCACCTCTAACACTTGAATGCTCTGGAGGAGTCATACCCTCTCTGTGGGCCTCAGTTTCCTCATCTGTAAAGTGAGAGGTTTGGACTCAGTGGTTTCTAAAATGCCTTTCCATTCTAGGTCTGAGATCTTAGGACTCCCCAGCCCCCAGCCCCAGGGAGTGTAGTCAGTCCAGAATAAATCCTTCCGGAGGAGAGGAGTGGTGCTGGCGGCAGGGGATGTCAGTTCTTGCAGAACTAGAAAGGAGCCAGTCTCTGCCTCTACTTCCCCGTCCCCTCTTCTCCCACCGCCTGGGAATTCCCAGGGTGGGTGTGGGCCTGTTAGCCCCTCAGAGGCACCCTGTGCCCCACGGGGTCAGCGACTGTTAGTGGGTCTCCCAGCCGTAGCCGGATCCCCCAGCCAGGCTGTCTTTCACACATCTTCTCATGAACTCAGTTTTACCCTTTTTCCTCTTGTTAGGAAGGAAGAGCATCTGGTCACAGCCCAGGCTTTAAGGGTTTGATGTATTGTCCCTCCCTGAAGTGTGTACATTAAAAAAAACCGCCCTGAAGGGAGAAGGCCCCCAAAGGAATGGATCACGAAAGGGGGAATTTCAGGCATCGGTGGGAGAGAGCCCCCTCAGATGATGACCCAGGAGCAGCCACGTCCTCTTCTGGCCCAGGGGTGGGTGGTCGGGGTGCAGCCCTGGGGGGCTTCAACCTTAGCCATGATCGAGGCTTTCATTTTACAGATGAGGAAACTGAGGCCTCTAGAGGCTGAGTGACTTCGCCAACGTGTAGGAAGAGATGGAGCTGGGATTAGAAGCCAGGCCTGCTTCTCGTAGGAACCTGCTGGGTAAGCCGGTGTGTGCTACCGAAACAAACCCAGCTGGGGGGCTGCCCTTCCCCTCCTGGCCCAGCACCCAGTGGAGGCACGGCTTGCCCACACACCCGGGGAGAGAGGAGCTGCTTTGGGCAGATCCCAGACCTTACCGTTGCTCCTCCACCTCCCCATCTCTCCCAGCTCCCACCGTGGCACAGACAATGCCAGGACTGTGAGGTCCTGGGGTCTCCAGCAGAAAGTCTTCACCAATAGTGGCTCTGAGATTTATGGGTCCCCAGGGAGAGCAGAGGGCCGGCCTTCCCTCCCAACAGCCCCCCATACGCTGGCAGGCAAGGGTCTGTTAGCTCTGGGTTTGGAGCCTGCTGGCTCTCTAAGCCCAGGATTTTTTAGGAGCCAGGGATGTTTGCTGGGCAAACTGACTGGTGCAGCAGGATGGATGGATGGCAGTGCCAGGAGCTTAGGGGGTGGGATGCCATCCTCTTCAGTCATGGCTCACTTTGACGTGATCCCAGGTGCCTGCCAGGAAACGCAGAGACATTTTCCCACTTGGGCCCTAGTGTCCGGCGCGAGCTCAGCTGGGCCAACAGCCCAGGAGGGCTCTGCAGGGAGAGAGGAGAGGGAGTGGTCTGGCATCTAATGGGACGGATTGAGGGCAGGGGAAGGGAAGATGAGCTCTTAGGAGTGTACGTGGAGAGGGCAGCGTTGAATTCAAAGGAATGAATCACTAACGGTGGGATTTCAGACAAATCGTGCTGTATGGGACTTCCATTCTACCCAGCATCCATTTCCCAGGCTTGCTAAGTCTGATAAGTGCCCAGCAATCCTGGGAAAAGAGACCGTGGAGTTTAGGACCAGCCCTCTCGCTTTGCTGAGGAGGAAACTGACCCAGGCTTGCAACGCTAAACAGGAGCGGCCCCAGGACTCGAACCCAGGTCTCCTGACGCCAGCCCCAACCTGCTCCTGAGCTCTGCTGGCTCCTTGGGTCCGTCCCACAAAGTGGCATCTGGGGATCCCTTGTGATACATGCCTGCCTCTCTGGGCCCTCTGAGCAGGGCCTGTACTGTGGGAGGAGGGGGCGGCAGAAGCCAGGGCTTGGGCCGCGGGTTGGCGGCAGCACCCTCTCCCTTCAGCTGGACTAGCAGGGCTCCCCAGTCCGCTCTCCTCCTCCTTGGACCCTGGGACTTTGGGGACTGGCGGAAGATGCAGGTACCGGCTGCTAGCTGTCCTCCATGCATCCAGGGCTTCATCTATTCCCCCCAAGATCATAGTGAGCCTTTTGGGAGGGCCCCCTAGGGAAAAGAGGTTATCACCAAGAGAGTTCCAGTGTCTCTGTGTGTGTATGTGAAGTCAGAAGTTCCCCCTTTGGGGTTAGCTTGGCAGGCTGGTGAGAGGAAGGTCTGGGGCTGAGAGGGCTGTCCGCGGGTCAGTGTGTGTGCGTCCAGGGCCGGCTGGGTGCAGGACCGGAAGAGGGGGATGCTGGCTGGCTCAGGCCCTGGCTCTGGGGAAGGGGGATCCGTACAGGGAGGCTGGGCTCTGGGCCGGCCCGGCAGGGTGCAGAATTCCCCGTTACCGCTGCCTAGACTCCATTGGATTGTCGCCGCCGGAGCATCTTCCCGGGCACGGACAGCCCCCTCCCCCCATGAGCACACAGCTCGCCCTGCTGGGGGGGTGGGGTGGGCAGGTGCCACAAGGGATGAAGAACTGCACAGCCCCCAGGCTCTCAGGCCAGGAGAGCTGAGCCCTCCTTCAAAAGGAGGGGCATCTCCAGCAGGGGGTCAGGGCCCCTCCGTTTTCCCCACCAGCACACCAGCTCGCTCACTCTCTTTCCTTCTCCTCTCCTCCCAGAATCCACATTCCTCGGGAGTGTGGGATGATGTCACTTCCTGGGGGAGGGTGTGGAGAGAAGGAGGAGGAGGGAGGACCCCGCCTCGCCGCCTGCCCGCTCACTCAGGACAGCCCCAGTTGACTAGCTGAGGCAGCTGTACTGGGGAGAGAGGATATTGCTTGGCCAGAGATGCTGGGCAGCTGCCTGCCCAGGGGCCCGTAATGGCTAAAGGAGGGGTTTGCAGCTTCCCTCCCGTGGGGTGCCAGTCTCTGTGGACAGACACATGCTCCCCTGTGAGGGCGGACCCACGCCCCTGGACAAGATGCTGTGGGAGCCTCCGGCTGCCCCGTGCGGCTCACTTGGTAGCAGAGTCCTTCTCAGGGGGGGCTCTTGTCTGGAGCACACACGCTTCCCCACCCAGCCCAGGCTCCGTCCCACTGTGGCTTCCCCCTCCTGCTCAGGGGCAGCGATCTCTGCCCAGGATCTGAGCTGGACACCGTCATTCCTCACCTCTTCCCTTGTCCTGCTGCTTGTCATGGACCTAATTGGGAGAGGTTTGGGGGAGTGGGTGCCACTGGAGAGGTTGGGATGGCCCTGTCGGCTGTCTAAACGCCCGCCCCAGAAACACCTTTGAGCTGGGGCAGATAGTAGTGACCCACCCTCCTCGGACGCCCTAGCCCAGCGCAGCCCGGGCCATCGCTTGTCTCACTTAGGGTTGGACTAGAGATGCCGGAGGGCCCACCCAGCCCTCACAGCCTGTGATTCTGTGATACCGTAGCGAAAGTGCTGTCTTATTGGTGGGAAACCTGAGATCAGAGAGGGGCAGCTACTTTTCCAAGGATGCGCAGCAAGTCATTGGTGTAGCCAGCAATGGAGCTCTCTGCCCTTGCTGTCAGTCTCTACTTCATGGCTCCTGTCAGGGTCGGTGTGGGTGGGGGTCCTTGGAGGAGCACCCTCCACCCCGTGCAGGGCATCATTCTGACCGGGGGCCCTTCCCTGGCCCTCTTCCCCTGTGCTGCACCCATCCCATTCTGGCCAGTGGCTGCCCCGGCTCCCGAGGCCTGCCCTCAGCCTGTGAAGAGCAGCGGCACGTGGCGCTGGCCGATGCATGGGGATGGTCCTCTGCTTGTTTGCAGGAGGTGAGCGTCACGCCTGCTGAGCCTCCTCAGACCCGCTCGCCATGCCCGGGATCGTGGTGTTCCGCCGGCGCTGGTCTGTGGGCAGCGATGACCTTGTCCTGCCAGCCATCTTCCTCTTCCTCCTCCATACGACCTGGTGAGTGTGGGGGCGTGCACAGGGAAGGTGGGGTGCCCAGGGCCGAGCAGCACAGGAGCGCTCAGGAGCTGAGGGTGAGCCCCCCGGCTACCCTTCCGGGATAATCAGGATGTCACGCCGCCCATCCTCCCCATCTGTCCTTGAATAGTTCTAAAATGAGAAGATTCTGGGGTTTCCTGGACTTTAAGGCAGGGCTGGGCGACACTCCCAGAGTGGCCCAGGACCCCCGGCTGGGCTGTGGCCGCTGCCTCCCTGGCACGAGCCCTTCCACGACCCAGCCTGCCAACTTTACCCCAGAAACCTTCATCCCTGCCCTGAAAGGGCAACCCCGCCCCGTGGTCAGGGAGTGGTCAGCGGTACTCAAAGGAGTCATCTCCTGCAGCCGGCCCGATGGCCGCCTTCCTCCTCCCCTGAGCCCCTGCCCACCCGGGCCCCATGTGCCTTGGGCAGCTGCTGACCACCCGGCCGATGCCCGGCAGGTTTGTGATCCTCTCAGTGGTGCTCTTTGGCCTGGCGTACAACCCCAACGAAGCCTGCTCCCTCAACCTGGTGGACCACGGCCGCGGCTACCTGGGCATCCTTCTGAGCTGCATGATCGCCGAGATGGCCATTATATGGCTGAGCATGCGGGGCGGCATCCTCTACACGGAGCCCCGTGAGTCCATGCAGTACGTGCTCTACGTCCGCCTGGGTAAGGCCCCCTGCTTCTGTCTGTCTGTCTGTCTGTCTGCCTGGGGCAGCACCCGCCACAGATGCTTTCATACCGGCTCTGCTCTCCCTGTAGCCATCCTGCTCATTGAGTTCATCTACGCCATCGTGGGCATCGTCTGGCTAACCCACTACTACACCTCCTGCAATGACGTCACTGCCAAGAACGTCACCCTCGGTACGTCTGGCCCTTGGCGCCACGCCCGAACGCCCCAGCCCAGGGAAGGGGACAGACTTGATAGGTTTAATCCAGGTGTATGTGGATAGCCTGCAGGAGACTGCCTGCCTTCTAGGGAGGGGCAATGTGGAACTCAATCTTATAAAAGCGAATGTTGAAAACTATCTTTATGTGTCATTGGAAAAAAAATAAAGTACTGTTAAGTGGGACGAAAGGGACGGAGACGACTAGCATCATAGGGTCCGTGACTTTGAGCTCTAGGGGACCTCAGAAACTGAAGGGGGAAACCGAGGCTCAGAGGTAAAGTCTCACAGGTGGTAGGGGGTCCCAGCAAAGAGTCGGTCAGCCAACGAGCATTAATAGGCGGCCGTGTAGACCTTGTACCCATGGCCTTTGGGACTCTAGGAGAGGCCTTGCTTGGGGTCAGGAGACTCAGCTCTGATGTTCACTGACCTTGGGCAAGTCACTCTCTCTGAGCCTCAAGGTTTTTTAAAAAAATCCCACTCTCATTTCTCACTGCGTTCTCTCGTAACAAAAGGCAGTGGGTCCAGACCCACCACACTGAACGTGTATGTCTCATTCCCTGCCTGCCATCCCCCACCTCTCTCACAAGAGGAGGGAAGTACGGGTCTGCTTCGGGGGTCTTCTGGGATCAGGACCCTCAGTCTCTTCAACTGTCAAATGGGACAGTCATTCTTACGCTACCACCATGATAGGGAAGCTTTGAGAAAGTGCCGGGTAGGCTCTGTAAAACACTATAGATACTTCCATTCTCATTCTTGTTATTGAACGTCCATGGAGTCAGGAATGGTCGGGAGGGACTTTCATTACCCCCCGGAGAGGGAGAGAGGGAGTGAGGCCCCCAGACAAGCCCTGACTGCCTTCCTCCCCCCCCCCCCCCCCCCCCCCCCCCCCCCCCCCCGCGCCCCCCCCCCCCCCCCCCCCCCGCGCCCACAGGAATGGTTGTGTGCAATTGGGTCGTCATACTGAGCGTCTGCATCACCGTCCTGTGCGTCTTCGACCCCACTGGACGGACCTTCGTCAAACTGAGGGCCACCAAAAGGAGGCAGCGGAACCTTCGGACGTACAACCTGCGGTCAGTCAGCCGGCCAGCCAGCGCGTGAGGGCCTGCCCATGGGGCGCAGAGCCCTGGGTCTGGGACTTCAGGGGAAGAAGAGGAAAGGAATGGCAGAGGTGTCCCTGCTAGGGGAGACAGGACCCTCTTCCTCTTCCTCTCCCCATTTCTTTCTCTGTCTGTCTGTCTGTCTCCACCCCATCCCCATCTTCTCTCTGTCTCTCTCTCAATCTCTCTGTCTCCTCTCTCTCTCTCTCTCTCT